TATTTTTTATGATTTAACGTTAGGCGAAAATTTAAATTACAATTGGCTTTCTTTTTATGTGATTAAGAAAGCATGAAATGTGTTTCACTTCACTGATGAAGTGAACTTGATTTATGCTGCCTGTTTTGTGTGTTTCTAACTTTATTTTTGTTTATTTTTCTCTCTCTCTCTGTCATTAATTTTCTTTGCATGTAATAATTATTCACATTAATAGAAAATAGTCTTGGAAATGATAAATCAGGTACAGTGGGGGTGGGTGGGGACCCGTGTCTTAGTATTTTAATTATTTCATCGATTAGGTAAAGCTATTTTATTTTGTGAACGGGGTTTGAAAATAATAATAATGATAATAATAATAATAGTGTTTGTTTATCCTAGATTGGTTGGAGTGTCACTTAATTATTATTAGACCTCAAGTTCAAAATATGTACATGCACTTTATTTGGCACTCACTGTCAGTCAACAGTGGTATATATGTATTACTGGGCACTGTATAAAACCCGTGTCGTTCACCTCTAAAGCTACTGGCTTTATTATTCGATAGCATAACTTCCCGAATTCTACTAGAACTACACAGTTAGTACTGCATAGCAAAATTGATAATGATATATATATATATATATATATATATATATATATATATATATATATATATATATATATATTGGATACTAGTAACTAGTGTGACGTGTGTAGTCCTTTCTTTGGCGCAGACTGAATTCTATTTTTTTTTCCTTCACGTTCCCAGTGGAACTTAGGGCTCCAAGCTAGTGGCTTGAAGTTTCTGTAGCAGTGGTGTTTATTTTACAGGATGGGGTTGCTAGCCTCATGTCCAACCTTTCCTCTTTACCAGCATTATTTCTTGCTCAGCGAGGTAAAGGAGTGCGCCGGCCAGGGATCGAACCCCGGACCATATGCATGATCGCCGAGCGTGCTAACCGCTATTAGTCAGGTTTTTAACTTTCTTTGACTGCAGCACTGGGTGACGCTGATTCGAATCTCAAAAGGGACATGAGTCCCTTCAGGGTTGCAGATATGCCTTGCTGATGAGTGCCAACTAGCACGAACACTAGGTCCAAGGCTTCCTGCCGATTGCCTCCAACTATCTAATATATATATAAAATAGATAAATAGGGTATCTTTGTAACTTTTTGTTCATGACTTTCTCTAACTCCAGTGTTTTTGGGTAAGGGGGGATAAACAGAAACAGTAGAGCTGGTCATATCATATCACTAAATTATGCTTGGCGTCGGTGGCATAGTGAATAGGACACCCGCCGACCATGCACATGGTCCGGGTTTCGATCGCCGGCGACGCACTCCTTTACCTCGCTAAGCCAGAAAAAAGTGCTGGTAAAGAGGAAAGGTTGGGTATGAGGCTAGCAACCTCATCCTATAAAATAAACATCACTGCTACAGAAACTTCAAACCATTAGCTTGAAGCCCTATGTTCCACTGGGGAACGTGAAGGAAAAAAAATTATGCCTGTGTATTATATTCAGTGATTGGAAAAACCGAATATTTAATTTAGGAAGTGTTCCCTAGTTTTATTCGACAATTGTATACACTATTCTGTTTTCAAGTACTTAACAATTGAATATTTTGGGGAAAATAATTTACTGAAGCATGGAATTATGAAAAATCATTTTTTTAAAAATGCACAGAAAGAGGAAATTCGTAGAAAACAATCAAAATATTAAAATAAATAAACAAAAATATGGAAGATTGATGTATTAGGGTGTTTGAAGTTCATTTTGATAAATAATGAGAAGTTGATTATATTTACTTCAAAATGTCTGTGCTCATTAAAATTAACTCAATCAAAATCTTCAATCTTTCTAAAGTTTGTTGAATTTTAGATTTTCCCGTCATCGATTGATTGGACTGAAGTGCTCGGTGTCAGGTTGACATGTTTGTTGGCTTTTTGTGCAGATGCTTCGACAATGTCTGAGCATGTAATCAGAATTTAATTTGTGGATGGTGACTGGCAGTGGAATCCAGGATGTGCATAGTTTGAAACTATGAGTACTGGGTTCTAGCCTCAGTGGGAACATCATCACTGACTCACTGTGGAATGCAGGTACATCCAGCTGGGAGACGAGTCCCAAATAGGATAAAATGTGCGTTATCCTGGATTCCACTGCTAATTACCATCCACCAATTAGGTTTCTAAAGTGTGGTTTACATTCCGACTGTACATTATTTAATAGTATGATAAAAATCTTTTCTGATAAGCGCCATGCTTGTATCATCTAAGGTTATTTTTGAATTCACTTAATATGTCAGAATATTGTATTTGATGATTGCCTATTGAAAATACACTCGAACTGTAAAAGCACTGAGTGTAAAGACGTGTATATTTTGTATAATTGAAAGAATTAAAGAAATCTGTTTTACTGTTCTGCTTGTTTGTCTGTTGTTAAAATAAATCCACATTTTCTGCACATGTTTAATATGTAAAACCCAAGAAACTGAACTGACTTTATTGTCTCATTATTTGGTTGGAGGATTTCATCCTAAGCTAAAATCAGTTAGAAAAGCATTTGGAAACCTGCAAGGAGTACTGAACAGTTGTTTCGTCCTAGTTTGGGGAACTCTTCACTAGTACCCACCTACCGCCAGGGTTCGAGCCCAGGACCTTTTGTGGTTACAAAGCGAGTTGGTAGACCATTAAGCCACTGGGACCGGATCCAATGGCCAGCCCATGTATTGTAACTTTTGTCAATTCATTATTTGTTTTTTTTTCAAGAAAACTATTTTCACTTCTTCATGATAATTACGCGAAGTCCTTATGCTTGTTGAGGTAATTGAGACAGTTTAGTCGCCAACACACTGATGCAATAACTTTTAACTGGTTCTAGTTGTTTACAGTTGTCTGTCTATAGAAATTAGAATTGATATACGGTGGAGGACGTGTGTGGACTACTACTTCATAATTTTTCAGTCAAAATCTTTGGCATACATTTAAAAATAAGTTAAATTCGTGAAATAGAGTAAGATCAGTTGTTAGATACACACCGATAATGATCATAGCGAAAACACACACAAATCTTGGTTGTTATTCAGTAAAATAACATTAATTTAATGTGTAATGGCATCATTTGATTCTGGGTTTTAATTAACAAGCTTTCAAACTGACTTCTCTCATCCTAGTGTCATTACTGTATATTCTCTTTATCAATTTGTGCTTCCTTTAGCAAGATTGTGTGTATTGTAATTCATTCGTTTTTAACCGATTCAGTATAGAAGAAAATAATTTAGCAGTGTATTCCGGTTGTTGTTTTTGTTATAATCCTTTTATTCATCCTAGCTGCAGATTATGTGACCTTATTTCGATATCTCAGTATCGTTTTATTATTATTATTTATGTTATTCCTTTATATTCCCAGTGGGACAGGGCTTCAAGCTAGAGGTTTTGAGATGTGGAGAAGAGAAACGGTCAAATCGAATGAGTAATGTTTCTTTAGGACAACATATTTCGAAACAGAATTTAAGATAATCTGTAGTGTTTGTGATTGTGTCAGTAGGGTGCAGCAGGTCGGGTGTGAGGACAAATACTCGCCGAAGACATTGGCTGGGGTCGCGATATGTCGTGAATTGGCAGAAGTTAGAATTCGTGGACCATTGGATCGGGTCCCAGTGGCTTAATGGTATACGAGCTCGCCTTGTAACCAGAAGGTCCTGGGTTTGAATCCCAGTGGGTGCTTACTGGTGAAGAGTCCCAAACTAGGATGAAACAGCAGCTGTCCAGTACTCCCAGGCTTCCAATGGTTCTCTAACTGATATCAATCCATGATCAACTCGTAAAACATAAATGAACTTGTATTTTGACAAGTGTTTCGAGCGACATCTCACAGTAATGCAATCAATGTAGTCATTCGAAAATTTGAAACAAACGTTGTTAGAAATGAACCATTTTGAGTGAATAAAAGTTGTGACACATCCGCCACATTTTTTCTTGGAACAAACACGGTCTTGTCGGAATACAATAAAATCATTTAAAGATACCATATTGTCATCATATAAGTCATAGAGCCAGGTTTCTTGTAGACTGACAATACCAGTATTGTGATAAATTTCGGACGACAAAAGGGACTGAAAATCCAGAATTTTGTTAGGCAGGGACCGGCAGTTGGTACTAATAATAACCGGAACAGTGGTGTGGTGTATGGTTGTAGGTTTTAAAGCACGTTGCCAACCACCATGATGCCTTTACTTGAGTTTGTTACAAATTTGAAGGTTTTTGGGTTTTAAACATTTTATATAGTCCCGAGAGTGAATAATACGATTAGAATGCATGATTTGATACGTAAACACCAATAAAATATATGAGTAAATAGATGCAAAATGTACATGGAAATATGGTAGCCCAAAATGTTCAAACAGGCCGCCAAGTTTCGGTAGTAGTGGTGTCTATTTTTTACGCGGTAGGGTTGCTAGCCTCATGTCTGAAATCCCCTCTCTACCAGTCTTATCGCTGGCTTAGTGAGGTTTACAAGTGCGTCTGTCGGGTATCGAACCCCAGGACCAACTACATGAGATGTGGTTGGTGAGCATTCTACAACTAAGCCGCTGACGTCCAGTATTGTTTTACAGAGAAAAGTATTGTCAGAGATGATATTGTTGTCTACAGCTTCCACAGAACAGACTTCAGCCTGGAGAGCAAGGAAACTTCTAGAACAGTGACGATTTTAGTCACACGCTTTTCTACCCTATCAGTGCTAACTTTTTTTCCGCTTAGTTCACTTGTTTAGTTCGATAGATAGAGATAAATGGTAAATAAATAAATATACAAAAAATGAATATTAGCAATTATAAAGTATTTCTGTAGAGTTCCAGACGTATATTATTAATGCCTTTCTTTCTTTTTTTCGTAAAATAAAGATGACATTTTTTGTAGTCTACTACGGGCAAGATTTTCAATGTTTTCATTCAATGTTTTTTGTTTACAATATTATTCAATAGCACCTTGTTTTATTGTTGTCCTTGTTATTCTACTAGCGGATTATTTAAATATTGCTCGTGAAGTCAAACAGCTATTCCATGAATTCAATATACACTGCACAACAATACAACCAGAATTTGAAGAGGTAATGCTTTTCTCATTTGTATGCGCGCATAATCATATTTTTTCATCTTTGTTTTGCTGTGAAAAAAGTTTTTCATGGTGGTGTGTAAATATTGTAGGCGTGTGTGCGTGCGTGCGTGCGTGCCTGTGTTGGATAGGCTTATTATGATTTAAATTGTTATAATAAGGAAAACGCATTATTATTATTATTATTATTCACTTTTAGATAATTTTATACGCTATTTTTGCTGTTTACGAAGTCTTAATCGCTGTTCTAAAAGTTTTCATGCCCGTTTCCAATTAGCTCTGTTGTTGTTAGTCCCTGTTACAAGTAATCCTGAAAAGTTTAACTGTATTATTGCTGTGTTAAGATTAACTTACTTCAGCCGTATTGATCACAACGTAAGCAAGAAGGATGTAAGCAGTGGCGAAATTCAGCCATTAAATAATAATAATTTTTCCTTCACGTTCCCCAGTGGAACATAGGGCTTCAAGCTAGTGGCTTGAAGTTTCTGTAGCAATGTTCATTTTACAGGATGGGGTTGCTAGCCTCATACCCAACCTTTCCTCTTTACCAGAATTATTCCTGGCTCAGCGAGGTAAAGGAGTGCGCCGGCCAGGGATTGAACCCCGGACCATATGCATGGTCGGCAAGCATCCTAGCCGCTATACCACCACCATTAAATACGTGTACATTACCTTTTATGCATGTAATACATGTGGGCAATTATTATTATTCCCTTGGGTTCCGAGTGGAACATACGGCTTCAACAACACATCTCCACTTTGTTCTATTTTCTGCCATCCTGTTCAGATGGTCCATGATTTCCCATAATCTCTCATCTCTTCCTCACGTGGTTTCCTGCATGTTACCTTAGGACGACCCACTTGTCGCGCTTTCTATTCGGATTCCACTCGAGCTATGGCCTGGCGCGCGATGTCATTCGACGGTCTCCTCAAATTATGCCTGATTCATCTCCATTTTCTCCTACATATTTGTTGAGCGGTCGGCTCTTCGTTCGTCTGTTCATTGCCAGAGTTTCTTGTTACCGATTCTTTCTGATCATTTGACCTTCAGTATGGAAAAAAACAGCTGTTGATGAAAGTCTGCGAACAGTTGAAAATCCTTTTCGTCACTCGCCAAGTTTCCTACCCATAAAGAAGGGCCGACTTGACATTGGTGTTGAAAATTTAAATCTTGTTCCTTATGCTGAGTGCGAAAGATTTCCAAACTGTTTTCAGGTTGATGAAGGTGTATCTTGCCTTTCCGACACTGACTGACTTTGACATCTTCGTTCGTTCCGCCTGTTGTTGAAACGATGCTCCTTAAATAAGGGAAGGAGATAATCTCTGTTGAATCTCTCCCGTTGATGGTGATTGGTGCTGGCTGTTGTTGTTGTTATTGTGGTTCGTTGGTTATTTTCATCACCTTCGTCTTCTGTATGTCTTCACTGCCTCTTCAGCTGCTTTGTCGATAATATTCAACTGAATAACTAACTCCCTCTATATCATTATTGATATAAGGATAAAACTTTGGCACTATGGTAGAGTATAACTTTATTATAGATAAGATTTTATTTTGATAACATCACACAGTGTTATGCAGTAATGCTTACTGATGATCACGTTTCGAGCACAAACTGTTCCTCTTAATCATATCAAGTCACTCACATAGCTTTCATGCTTCATTTATATACATGAGTAAAAATTGATGATTAGGTATTTGAAAAAAATCAATATAAGATAAAGTACATTCAGAAATAATATTAGTGTTATCAATAAAATATAATCAGATGTGAAATACGATGTTACACAACACTAGATGTTTACTGCATATGGAAGGATTTGCCGATTGTATTTGAATGTCTGCGACCAAATACTTTTCTCAACTTATCCTTACGTAACTGTCGTTACACAAGATGAGCATAATCATCATTCTGTTGCGTAATATGGAATCGCATCATACGAGACAAAACAATACCACCTGAAACATAATATTAGTGTCTTATTTTAAACATCAAAATTACTGGAAATAAAGAAAGATGAAGTGATTCTGCAAAGTTTGTGTCCAAACATCGAAGAATAATTGGTATTAGTGACCCACTAGTCGCAATATGTGCTCTTCGAACATAATAATAATAATTATTGTTCCCTTGGGTTCCTAGTGGAACATAGGGCTTCAACTGCACGTCTCCACTTGCTTCTGTCTTCTACTGTACTTTACACCTGCATCCATATTAGTCCATACTCTTTCAACTCCTCTTCACACCATCTCCTCCATGTCACCCTTGCACCGACTTCCCACTTGCCGCTTCCCTTTCAGGTTCCACTCGAGCAATGGCCTGACGCGCGCGTGATGTCACCCAGTGGCCTCCTCACCCGCAAGTGTCCAATCGATCTCCACTTTCTCCTGCATATTTGTTGGGCGATTGGTTCTTGTTTTGTTTGTTCCCATAGATTCTTGTTGGTGATTCTTTCCGGCCCGGCAGTCTGATCTTCAGTATAGATCCAGCGAGGACAGCTGTTGATAAAGGTCAGCAACCTGTTGGTTGGAAATATTCTTCGTGGCCCGCCCCCTAAGTTTCTGATCCATATAGAAGAACTGACTTGCCATTTGTGTTGAAAATCCTACCGAATTTTGTTGTTGATGCTGGATGAGTGACGAAGATTTCCAGATTGGCTTCAGTAAGGTTGATGAATGTGTTTCTCGCCTTCCCGATTCTCGCTCGATTTGACATCCTCGTCCGTTCTGACTTCCTGTAGTTGAGATAATGCCCCCTAAATAAGTGAATGAATGAAGTAACCTCTTTCAAATCCCTCCCGTTGATGGTGATTGACGCTGGATGTTGATGTTGTTGTTGGTTGGTTATTTTTATAACTTCCGTTTTGTCTATGTTCCCCTGGAGTCCTGTCTTCGCCAGCTACTTCTTCGACCAGTTTGTCGGTTTTCGCTAGTAAGTCTTCGATTTTGTTTGACATCAAATATAAATCATCCACGCGCGAAATCCAGGTCTTCTAGGTTCTTCACGTCGATCCAGGATATCCCTGTCTTCTCGTTTCCCACTGTTTGACTCATAATCTAATCAGTCCACCACAATTGGGAATATCATTGGTGATAATAAGCACCCATGTCTGACTGCTGAGTTTTCCGTTGTGGATCACTTCAAACATAGGAGATATTTATTGAGGAGGTTCAGCAGGTCGAATCGTCCATGCTTTAACTTTCATTCACTATGTTTTCACTATAAATTACAAAAAATTTTTAATCGGTCTCCACTTCAATTATTATAGGTTGAGTTGTATTTGTACAAACTGTTGTAAAATCACTGTTATGCGCATAAAGTTTTGTCTACTTATACATTCTGTTTTATTTTTTTTTAAAAGCTTATTAACATGTGTCCTTACAACTCCTAAAAGATTGTTAATCGAACCAACGTCATTAAACATAGTTCTGATTGATTTTTCACACTTTATGTTACTTAATCTATCATACTTTTGGAATTGTTATCAAGTTATTTGCATCATTGAGTGATTTTTTTTCATTCTATTTCCTCCCTGTTTGTTACGCTTGTCGCTCAAATAGATTTACATATAAAAGGTCGCTAACTTTCTGATATTACTACCATCCTTTTTTAACGACTATTGATTAAGTCATTTTGCATACAGCCTAACATTCTTTCGTGACTTACAAATTTTTAAAATCCTGTGAACTTTGGTCGTCATATCAAGTGCATTAAAACAAACTTGACTCAGTCGTTGAGATGTTCAGTGTGTAGATAAAGTGTGAAGGAATAAATCAGTTTTATGAAACTCTGAAATCTGAATAAAGCAGCAACGACGATAAAATGTACCAGGGTAATCTGAGCTCATGTTTTTATTTTTATTATTTCGTGGATTCTTCTCAACTGGTTACACAACCTGAACACAACCAAAATTATAAATTAAATTAAAGATGTGAACACATTTTTTTTACAATGATAAGGAGTAATTGATTCGAAATAAGAGTATCACTAGTCAGGAATCATGTAAGTTGTTAATTAGTTAAGAGTGAAAAGGATCGACTGTTTACAGAAGAGTTGCATGACTAAGCTTGGAAACAAAAGGATATCTATTGAACTCTGTTCGTTTGTTTCACAAGCTTAGTCAGGTAATTCCTCTATAAATAGTCGATCCTTTTCACTCTTAAGTGGGAGTGAACCGACCAGGAACGGATTATGCAACAAATAAGCAGGAAGAAATGGAGGTGGATTGTGACCATACTCTGAGGAAACCAGCCAAGTTGAACTTTCGACACCACTAACTACCAATCAGCGAACGACGTCGAATTATCCAATCAGATTCACGAACGTAGTTCAATGTCGTATACCGCTTGATTCATTTCTAATGCGTGGTCTTACAAGGTTACGGTTGCAATTCGAGGAGGACAGTGTTTTCCAGTATTGCCTGGATTTAGGATTGCTCCGGAAGGAGCGAACTTGTTCGTGTGGTGGTATCATGACTTTAAAAAGCTATAGTAGATCAACTGATGGATTTGTTCATTGTTGTGTTATATGTTTGAAGAGTGTTAGCATTAATGCTCTAATTAAAAGGGGTAAGCTGATAATTTTAATATTTCTTAGGAACTTTTTTTCGCTAGGTCGCATCTCTCCCGAACCCAGATTTTGTACATTTGCAACTACTGAGTGTTGAAACAGCCGGTGAGAGCAGCAGCTGCCGAGTTGGAGAATAGCCTCGTCTCAACAGTTCAATGGTACCAGCATTGCAAAGATATTGCTTCGTGGAAAATAGAGAAAATCACTTCTTTGCTGGCTGGAGAAGACGTCGTTGTGCATGTCGATAAAACTGTGCTGGTGAAAAAGAAATACAACTGTGGTGGCCAGCGGGCGAACAACATTTGGGTATTAGGTTTATACGGCACCTCCCTCCGAAAGGGATTCGTCGAACGGATAGCTGACAGAAAAGAAACCACTTTAATACCTATTATAATGTGACTTGTTAAACGGTGGTCAATTATACACACGGACGAGTAGAAAGGTTTTAATTCGCTGTCATCTCTGGGGTATATTCATCACAGAGTGAACCATTCAAGTGATTTCGTGGATCCCGTAACGAGGACTCATACGAATTCCATTGAAGGGTTTTGAGGCCGCTTGAAAAACATGATAAAGGCTACAAATGGATCTCATTTATGGTCATTTAGATGAATATATGTACAGGATGTGGTGTAACTTTACCATTGACAGTCCGATGCTAAACTGGGAGATGTTTCTCTCACATGTTCGAGAAAGACACCCGTTGTAACCGTTATATCCTTTTTTTATGCTTTTTTCTATAAATATACGTTTCCATTTATCATAAATGCCTCTTTAATGTGATTGGCCCGTTCAAGATCGTTTACTGATTGGTTGTTAGTGGTGTTGAAAGTTTAACTTTGCCAGGAAACCATCAAGTGACACTAGACAGGTCATCTCTAGAGTGGAACCCGTAAGGGAAGCGGCGAGTTGGTCGTCCAAGGGTGACTTGGAGGAGGTCATGTGAAGAGGAGATGAAAGCATGTGGACAGACTTGGAGCCAGATGAAAACGTTAACATAGAAGTGAACACAATGGAGACGCGCGGCTGAAGCCCTCTAGGAATTAAAGGAAATAATGATAATAATAATTCACTCTTAACTAGTTAACAACTTACATGATTCCTGACTAATGATACTCTTAGTTCGATTCAACTGCTCCTTATCATTGTTCAAATCTTTAATTTAATTTATAATTTTGGTTGTGTTCAGGTTGTGTAACCAGTTGAGAAGAATCCACGAAATAATAAAAATAAAAACATGAGCTCAGATTATTTTGGTAAATTTATTCAGATTTATTAATCGGGAAATTGTCTGAACTTTGAAATCTATTAGACGTACAAAATGAAAACGAGATATATCAGGAGAGTACAGTCCTCTCTTAATGATTAGTAATCTTAATAATTCTAGAAAATGAAGCAAGCAAGAAAAACATCTTGTGCGTCGGTGCTATAGCGGTTGGGACGGTCGCCGACCATGCATATGGTCCAGAGTTCGATCCCCGGCTGACGCACTCCTTCACCGCGCTAAGCCGGAAATAATGCTGGTAAAGAGGAAAGGTTAGGCATGAGGCTAGCAACCCCATCCTGTGAAATAAACACTGTTACAGAAACTCCAAGCCACTAGCTTGAAGCCCTATGCTCCACTGGGAACGTGAAGGAAAAAAAAGGAAAACATCCTAGAGACCTTTAAAATATAAATAACATAATAATTATTATAGTAAGTCTTGCTCTTGTTACTATATGGATACATTGCAAAATATTTATAAAATAATACCATGTAAGTTTCAGTCCTATCCAGCTGTAAATGGATATAATTTTTACATTTATTTATTTTTTTTTGATCTAGGATACCGAAGGATCGCCGTCAGATTATCTAACCTGTGTATTAGATTGTGGTCCAAATAAAAATTGTCAATCTGACACATGTTGTCCTGCATCGAATGTGTCAGCATCACAGCCCATGCCGTTGAATGCACTCTCCGCATCACAGAATTCCGTTGTTGTTGGTGGTGGTGGTGGTCCAGTATTGAATAATGCATCCAAATATGAACAAAACAATTCATCATCAGATAGAGAAGTACGCCTTACTCTTAGTAATTAATTGACTATCAATTTACACAGTCTTCCATTTCTTCCATAAAATAATAAATGTTTTGTATGTTTAAAAATTAAAAGAAAGGAAAGACTTTGAACTCTTTGAACATTTCTTTGTTGTCGTTGTTGTTGTTTTTCTAATGATGATAGTGTTTTGATCCTGCAGAATAAAAATAATAATCCTAGATATATAATAAAATATGAACAATTCACCCCTGTGTATTTTAAATAATTTTTATTACTCACCCTCCTCTGCTCAATAATATTCCTTCTTTTTAATAATACCAATCAAAAAACAGAAAAATGTGTATACATGGAACATATATATATATATATATATATATATATATATATATATTTCAATGTTTAACACTTCTGACCAAATATGCAGCACTTATGGTGGTCATGTAAAATATAAAAATTATGCTTATATCTCAATTATTACTATTGTTATTATTATTTTGCTGACTTGATAAATTTAATTTGTTCAAATGTTTTCCTTGTTATTTTTGTGAGTTTTAAACATATATATATATGTATAATAAATAGTATGGTAATACACACACGGTCATCAATGTATTTCTGGAAGCATTTGTTGCGTGTAAAAGAAAATCTGTTTCTTTCGTGTATCCCCTCCGCTCCTCCTCCTCCCCCCCCCCACCGCGACTACTACCACCACACACGCACACACTGCTCAAAATGCCTTTCTCAAGAGTAACAGAGAAAGGTGAAAATAACCAAATTGTAATTCATTGTTCTTATTACTGTTCATTGTTTTTTAAGTTTTATGTCCACATATCAAGTGGAGACGTTCATATTAGTACAAAGAATTATCCTGATTGTAGTTATATTTATATATCGTAATTATTCTTCTTATCCTTTTATTCTCTGTTTCTATTTCCTTATTGTGTTTATATATAACTTATGAATCTTTTACAAGAAGCCAATTTTCCTAAATACTGTAACCTTGATAATATTATATATACATGTATGTATGTGAATATGTACACACTTACAGCCAACTTGAGCATCTACTGTTTTGCATCTACATATTCTTTATTATGCAAATGCTACATTTTATGAGTTTTGATTCAATTTTGAAGAGAAATAAAGTATCATATACTTCTATCTGTTTGTTTGTCTGTCTGTCTGTCTGTCTACCGCAATTGGTATGAAGCTTTTTAAAAATGAAAAAGTGATTTTTAAAGCAAATTGTGTAATTTTGTGTCTCTCACAGTATACTGTTGAAGCAGGCTTCTTTTTTTTGAGATTTCGGAATTGATAACAACCAGTGGTGTCCGATAGGGATGCCTATTTTCCCCCATTCCTGTTTAACTTCATCATAGATAGGCTAATAGAAGTATCCTTAACTGAACGTAACGACTTAGGAATCGACTTGTTATCAGGGGAATAGTCTTATGGACTTAGAATATGCAGATGACATAGTCGTATTAGGGGAGGATGCTGACAAAATCCAGCAGAGTCTTCTGAACACCTTGAGCAGCAATCTTCGTATGTTTGGCATGCGATTCACCCCTGCAAAATGTAAGATGCTGATACAGGACTGGACTACGTCAACTCCTAGCTTAGTGATAGGGAATGAAGTGATAGAACATGTTAAACCGCTTCACCTATTTGGGAAGTTGTATCAGCAACAATGGACTGATTGGCGACGAAATCTCAGCACAGATCCAAAAAGTTCGAGCTGCTTCCGCTGACTTACACCATCTCTGGCGTAGGCGTGACATCCGGCTATCAACCAAGGGACGTGTCTACTGCTCAGCAGTTCGCTCCGTCCTTCTCTATGGCTCTGAAACATGGCCAATATGAGTTGAAGACATGAAAAGGTAGACTGCTTTCGATCATAGATGTCTGCGTTCTCTGTCTCACGTTAGGTGGTTTCACAAGGTAAGTAATGTTGACGTTAGGCGTAGAGTGTTGGGCAAAGAGGGAAAATCAATCGACGAGGCTATAAAGTTACATAGACTAAGATGGCTAGGTCACGTGCTGCGCATGCCTAACCACCGCCTCCCCCAACGGGCATTACTAGCTGACATAGGTGCAGGTTGGAAAGGGGTAAGTGGTGGCCAAACAAAAACATGGCATCAATCGATGAAATCCTTGACAGTTAAACTGAGTCAGGTAGAGAGATGCAGACTTCCGGGTTGGGGCCCTCGGGACTCTAGGAATCAATGACTGGATACAATAGGTGATATGGTCCAAAATCATTGTCAACGGCGCAGATGTATTCAGTCTCTGTAATCCTTCATATTTCTTTCCACCATTACCCATTCTGTTTCGCTCTTATACCTGTCAAACTCTATTGATTCTCTTCACTCATCTTCTTGTCTACCTCTGTGTGCTATTTGGAACGTGGCAACTCGAACTGCTGCACTTCGGTACCAAGTTCTATGTTGAATCCAGACAGACAAATTTTGAAGGAAATCATTCGGTGTCTATAGTAGTTCACCAGATCTACATGCTGCAGATCGAGTGAACAGATATCAGCACGAGGAGTCTAATGGCAAAAAGTCAATGTATTTAAGCTCGAAACTCAGAAAATCAAAACAATGCATTTTTCGGCATAGCTTGTCAAACAAATGTCTATAAGTCGCATACACATATGCACAATCGAATTTTATATTCCAACAGTAATTAAAACACGGTAGAATCTGTGGTCCTATTTAATGTGTATAAAGAATACAACACTAACTGAACAGTACTGTCCTGCAGCTTTACATTCCAAAAGTTTCCCAGGTAGAAAAAATTACGCACTAAGAATCATTAATATATATATATATATATATATATATTTCCAACAATGTTGGGTTGAAGTCTTTGCCTGCAAGGATCCAAAAGAAAAGAAAACACGTCTTATACACAGACAGTCTAGGGTCGAGCAGTCACATGACGGTGTAACCGCGAATTCATTCAAACAGAATCGTATTAGTAAAACAACTCGTTAGCATCAACAGTCTGGTATCATACAACAGTCGAGTGAAGCATTAGAAATAGGAGTCCACCGGACATGTAAACAATTAATAAGAGCTAAGTCAACAAGAAAGATACGCAAATGTTAAAAAGATGATGGGCTACTCAAAACTTCTTTCTCTCTATTGCATATATTTTCTCTCATTCGCTTTGTTATAATCGGTTGAGATATGACCTCTTATGTGTATTTACAATGCTTACAAGCTCTTGATTCTCAAGTTCCTACTAAAATTATGTCCTTGGGTCTCGAAATGTATTTCTGAACATCTTACAACACCAACACTAGTAAAATCTCAGCGATATTGAAATGAGTAGTTCCAACGTTGTGTTCGGCAATTTGGTCCGAACTTCTTCAGGGAAATGAATCGAAATTAACATAACACCAACACTACAATTGAACTAGATCTCGTGGATTTCTCGAAGGAGGAGAGAAAACAGATATATCACAATGGAATGATATGTGCTTCAACTCAGAGACGAGTGTGTGTGTGTGTGTCACTGGAAGGATATACTGTCAATTCGTATTTTATTTGAAGATATTGTAGGAAGGGAAATATCATGCAATAAACTCCTGAAAATTCTGTACATTTTATAAATACTGTCCATAACAAAGATTTGATTGATTAAAAGTGCCCATTAAAATTTTCAAAAGATTGGATACTGAATAAAGAATACTCTTTTCGATAACCTGCTCTTCATCAGGCTCTACAGTTATATATACATAGTGAATGAATGAATTAGTGTTATCAACAACATTAATGTTGCTATTTAAATAACATCGAATCAATAATAATAATATCAATAGATTACAACTCAATAGCATCAACATTAAATAAGCTGAATGTCAGAAAATTTAAGAAATATAATATTACAAATTCATGAATTTATAGTCTCTACTGAAGGCCAGGACAGTAGGAGTGGCTGGCTGAACTTGCTTCTTGTGAACACAGAGCGCTGGTTGTTTGAGGCGAATTGCAATAGCCTCTGCTCTTTCGAGTATGTGGTGCTTCGATGATTTTGGCAATTTATTAGGCACCCGGTAGATGATAGAAAAGAATTCTTCAGTGGTGGCTGGCTTTGTGGACGGTTTGCACCAGATGGTCTGATATCGAACTGTTGATGGTTTTCACTACACCTACACTTAGTCATAGTGGGAGATGTTCTCGAGCGAGCACGAAAAATCAAGTTCGTAGTGCAACGGCCAATATAACTCGCTTCACAAGCGAAGTTGAATTGATAGATACAATTAGAAGTGGCTGGTCTAGGTACTTCATCTTTCAGTCGAGGAATCACCAACAGTCATGCAGAGAATAAGACGTGTAGTTCGCCAGCAGTAAAAGTTCTTTGAACTGATTTTCTTAATTTCTTCGTAATTATCTCACTTGGTATATCGCGCTTGAATTGCAGTCGTATATAAAGAGGCTTCTTGTTTACGGATAGTGAGTAGTCCTTTTCCGCTTTCTTTGCCATGTGTTTCTTGACAAATTTGTCAGGATAGCTTTTTTCGATCAAAGTACCCCATACAATGCTTAAATTCACCTTCAATTACTTCTTCTGAGCATATATCTCTAACTCTGTGACTGAGGGTGTTTACGGAATTTCCTTTGTACTTGAGAGGAACGAGGCTGTGAAAATGTGTATATTGTCCTGTCCATGTACTTTTCCTATGCAGGATTCTTTTTATGCTACCATCTGGTTTTCTTGTAAGTAGGACATCCAGGAAGGCAATTCTGTTTTAGAATTGCATAGCCGAATGTACTTCATTGAATTTAGTAATTACTGTACCCCTATTCAAATCATTATCACAAAGAATGAAGGTGTCATTCATATATCGGCAATAAAATGAGAACCTTCTGATAAGGTTGTTCAAAGGTCCATTTTCTAGCTTACTTAGAAAGAAATCAGCCAAAATGGGACCCAATGGGGAGCCCATCCCCACTCCATCCAACCACTTGCCTGTATATGGAGAGATCAGAGAAAAAAAGAATAAGTAAAATTATCTCGGTGGC